TTATTCTTCAGTGTTTAAAAAAATATTTTCTATTTAAAAACCTTTATATATATATATATATATATATATATATATATATATATATATATATATATATATATATATATATATATATATATATATATAAAATTCAACATTACACTCAAAATTCAACAATGATTTTGTTAGTTTAGTTGTGTTTCCCTCATCACTGGCTAGCAGTCACTGCATTTTTTTTTTACATCTTTTAAAATGGTTCTAAATCTTTTAGCCTAGTAATCACAACAGTATACTATTTTACTTACATTCACTGATTTTTTTAAATAAAAAAAATATTGACTGTAATAAAATGCTTTTATGCTGAAAAATGTTTTCTCCTGTGTTTTTATACAAATTTCACAGAACTTTTTCAATAATTGGCAGGAAGACGTCTGCCAACACTGTGGTGAAAACCTCAGAAGCATGCCATGTTAAACCCTGATCAAATACCCTAAAATACCTCAGTGTTACAATTTACCCTGTGTTACTTTGTGCCCTGCGCTTCCCTATAGGTGTCCTTTAAAAGTCTATGCTGGACTTTTTTTTTTTTTTTTACATTATACTTAAAACTCCAAAATAATAGAATATTAGAATGGAAAATGCATTAAAACTTGATTTGACTACAGTGTCTTAAAGGGGGAATTCATCCTAAAATATAACTTTCCTCACTATTTACTCACACACAAGACCTTTATCAATTTCTGTAATCTGTTGAACACAAAACAAAATATTCTGATGAATGAACACAGTGCAAGTCAATGGCTGTTGTCCTCACCATTCTTCATTAAATCTTCCTTAATGTTTAAAAGAAGAAAGAAACCCACAAAATGTTAGAGTGAGCAAATGGAAATTTACATTTTGGGGTGAACTATCTTATTAAAAGTGAAGTGTTTGCACATCATCCTATATGTTTAGTAGAAAGAAATATGAACAAAAAACCCATGATGGTGCTTAAATAACGAAATGTTCGTCTTTGATTGAAGCATTTCTCTTAAAGCAAATGTAAAGAATCTCTGAAGAGTTGAAAGACGTGTCCAGCACTGATACTTCCAGAGTGAAAGGTAACAGCTGTGGCAGGACAGGCGGGGCAGCAGGCCTCTGGGGTTCAGGGAGTGTCAGGCGGTTCTGGAATGTCATTTACAGAAAGCATGTGGCAAGAAGAGCAAGCAAATGACACTCAACGCAGATGAGTGAAGGAAGAACAATGGAGCAATCACCAAAAGAAATCCCAGAGATGACATTTGGAGCCGAGGAATTAGCAACATATGGGCCCTGTCATTATATGGATGCAGAATAGAGCATTTTGTGCCACTCATTGACCACATTTTTGGCACTTTTGATATAAAATCAATGTTAAACATAATCAGAAGAACAATATTTATTTAAAAGCAAAGCTATAAAACATTTGTTAGATGACGCAAAAATCTAGCTCTACAGAAGGATTTCTAAAAACTCGAGACAAAAAATGATGTCTACATTGTAAACCAAAGTCAGAATGTGTTAGCAGTTGCATTTTGTTTTTAAATAAAATGAAAGATATAATGAAACTAATTGCTGGCAATCCTGATTTTTGTCACATATGGAAATTAAATGACATGTTGGATGAAAACACAAGGCTGACGTTTGGCTTTCTTGCTATTATTTATATCAGAGTAAATCTTTACTGATTAAAGTCAATAATTGATTGCATTTACTTTGTTAATTTGTCTCACTCTGTAATATTTTGGCATCCTCCAGGATTTTGCAGGGACATTATATTTCAGGGCCAAGCACCAAAGGAAGATTCCTTGGGTTGTCTTGATAATATCGATACCAATTATGCCATAATTATTGGAACTTCCTGTCCACCATCTAGTCTTGTCTAGGCATGGCCAGGAATAAGATTCTGACAGTATAACCCTGGATAGAAACATCATGGTGTCACGGTAGTGTGACTACTGCTCTAAAATATGTTATTTTTAGATGTCTGGGTAAAAAACTACTTTCCCCCCTCATTGAACACAAATTTGTATTTAAGAACCATTTAAAGCACTTTGAAACAGTAAACATCAGGTTAAATAATTAAAGTAAATTATTGACTTCTGCTGTCTTCATTAGTTTCAAAACAACCTGAAAAGGGATCTATGTATATCTTTCTTTTTTGGATGTAAAGTAAAGCCACTGCATTATTCAGGTTTATAGCATGCTTAGATGTTGGTTCATAGGATATTTGTTTTTAGATGTTTGCTGAACTGTGGGCTGACTAGATTTGCTCTTGATGTGAAGGGTCCTTTTCTGCTGGATAATCTGTTGCCCTAAAAACTAAATATCATGGAAAACACACATTGAGTGGGTTTGTTCTCGATTACACCAGAGATTGTATTTTTTATGGAGGTTGCGTCTTTTTGGAGTTAACAAAAAGCTCATGATGTTGTTTTATAAAGCAGTTCTGGAAAGCATTGTCAGGTATGGCATCACAGTGTTGTTTGGCAACCTATCTGTTCAGTGTAAATCTAAACTGATGCATCTCTTAAAGACAGCATGGAAAATTGTCGGGCATGATGAATATTTTAATCCTCAAGTTTTATATGAGAACTGTGTCCTCAATCAGGTGGAATGGATTGTAAACGATCCAACTCATTTTTGGTTTCCACAGTATCAACTGCTTCCCTCTGGTAGAAGATATAGAGTCCCAAAGTGTAGGTTAAACCGCTATAAGAAACCCTTTGTACCTGTGTCAGTGGGTTTAGTTAATAAGAGTATATCTTAATTAGCACTATAAATTTTGTAATTGTTTTATTTTCTATTGTTTTTTATTGCTTGTTTTAGTGAGTGTCTGCAGCAATATGGCGATGCCCATAACAAATCTCCTGTCAAGGACAATAAAGTTTTAACTACTACTACACAATTTTTTTTTTAACTTATGTATACTGTAGGAATGATATAACAGAACATTTTCCATACTCTTCCAAACCACAGTAAACCTTAATACAGGTTATTGTTCCATGCCTAGTCTTGTCAGAAAGCTACTTTTTTGAACTTCTCCTACATCATTTGGCTGCTTTGCACTCAATTTAAACCAGATCATCTTCAGATCACCATGACCAAAAGTTTCTAAATTCATGTCAATAGAGAAAACGGTTGTCATTTAGCACATGGACAAACTTGATGTAGTCTTGCCAGATGACATTACAGGCTGAATCACTGCAATGGTTTGAAGAATTGAAACCAAACCTAATGTGTGTGATCTAGACTTGACATTGGTAAGGTCTGGATACGCGGCCAGCCGGAAGTGTGATAAGCACATCCATATAGCATTTTTTATGACACTGTATAACAATAATTCATATTTTTTTCAGTACTGTGATGGTTGGATTTAGGGTTGGGGTTGAATAATATAAAAAATAATATGTATAAAGATAACATAAATCATACTTGGTAAAACTACTGTTTTTAGCAACTGTGATGGTTGGGGTAGACATTAAAAAATAAAATTGATTTGATAATTTAATAGATAACATAAATAATACTCGGTACAACTGCTGTTTTTACAGTACTGTGACGGTTGGGTTTACGGTAAGGGTGGGGGAAGACGTTAATAAAATGCAATTAATGGGAAATTTAATAAATAATATGCATCATTTTCATTAACCTTAAGCCGAAAACATCTCTGATCTAGCAACAATACCTGACATTGACAAAACCACATCAGTTTGCGCCACCTTCTGGGTAAAATTGACTAACAATTATATTCTATCAGTAGAAATCATACAAAATTGATCAAATGACGTTTAAACAGTTTTGTCTATTGTCATGTGACTGGTCTTGTTAGATTCCGTGGATCATATCGAGAACATTGATATCATTTCTTTTCTAATTGACATGACTTCATCTCCACCATCTTGAATTAGTTTGAAAACCTGTTTTTATTTTAACTCTCCCTATATTGTTAACCCAATTACCACCTAAACCATGCTGCCAGTTGAATTTTCATTTGCTCTGTAGCTTGTTTTTAATGTGGCTGATGGACTGCTAGGCCCCGTTAGTTGCTGCTTGCAGCTATTTTTTATTATTATTTGCAATTATATTATATTTTGCATTATATTTAATATACAGTTGAAGTCGGAATTATTAGCCCCCTTGTTTATTTTTCTTTTCCCAATTTGTGTTTAATTGACAGAAGATTTTTTTCAAGACATTTCTAAACATAAGTTTTAAATATTAATTTCTAATAACTGATTTATTTTATCTTTGTCATGATGACAGTAAATAATATTTGACTAGATATTTTTCAAGACACTTCTATACAGCTTAAAGTGACATTTAAAGGCTTAACTAGGTTAATTAGGTTAACTAGGCAGGTTAGGGTAAATAGCCAAGTTATTTTATAATGATGGTTTGTTCTGTAGACTATCAAAAAAATAGCTTAAAGGGGCTAATAAGTTTGTCCTTAAAATGGGTTTTAAAAAATTAAAAGCATAGTGTAGCATTATTTGGTTTACTTCTAGAGTTTTGCTGTAAAATTACACAGAATTCTTGTAAAAAAATCTTCTTTGGATCTCAAGAACTATTGGCCTCCCAGAAACTTATTTACAGATTTCTGAAAGACATCCATAATGGTTTTTTGACTGCATGATTTAAAATTAAACCTCAGTAGTATGTATATACTTAGGTCCTTTACTAAATTACAGAAATAAACTATGGACATAAAATCATTGTGATTTTATAGATTTTATTAACAAACAAACAAAAAACAAAGAAACAGTTTCTGGTTTTGTGAAACACCATCAAACCATAGTAAATCCTGACTTCTGTAACAAAGGAAATTCGACGATTAAAGTCATGACATTAAAGTCAGTTATTGACTAGTCATACTTTTAAATAATCAATGTCATTTTAGTTTCCTATTTTATATATATATATATATATATATATATATATATATATATATATATATATATATATATGAACATTTAATCCTTTATTTTTATATTTTCATTTATATTTTAAAGTCATTTATTACATTTATTTGTCATATTTTATTGTGCGTGTGTGTGTGTGTGTGTGTGTGTGTTTTATGTAGTAATTTGTTGTGCTCTGAAGAAAAATGAACATCTTACAGGTTTAGTATGACATACAATTGATGAAAATATTAATTTTCGACTGAACTATCACTTTTTTTCTGGCTATAACTTGCAGGATTGAAATTTTTTTTTAGATATTTATTAAATGAAAGAATTAAAATGCTGTCATAATTTGTATTTTACATTTAAAAAAGAAATCATTGCACATTACGGTGACTGAAAACGTCTGGTTAACAAAATCCTCATCCCATCAAGCCTTGTGTTTAAGGCTGTAAACCACAGAAAGGAACCAAGGGGCTAGAAAGGTAACAAAAACCAAACCAGGCTGTAAACTTTAAATCAGGGCAAAAGGATCAACATTTAAAAGAATAAACCCAAACAACCACCACAGCAGCAGAAAACCTCATATCCACTACTCATCTGCCATTCTTTACAAGGGAACATGCTAATATATTAATGATCATCTATAATGATGCCACTGTATTTGAGCAGTTTTGTTTGAGAATGAAGCCCAAAAACACTAAGAATACGTATTTGAGAAGCGTTTACTGTTACTTTGAGCTGTTTTGATCTGGTTATGCTATGAAAAGTTCAGTAGGTTTGTATCTGCCCTGTGTTAAAAGGCAAGTTCTGGAAGTTCTGATTTGTGTGTGTGTTAGGAGGTGTGTTGAGGCAGATTCTGTGGTGGCTCAGCTGGAAGGTTGTTTTGAACATCTCCAGTCTGTTGGTCTGGTTCTTTCACTGCTGAAAGACAAAAATATTCACCCTCAAAATCAGTTTTTTTTATATATATATAAAATTGCATTTTAAAGGTTAAAGGCTTATTGGTTTCATTCTTTTCACCTTGACTGTCTTCATTTATTAGTTTCTGGATGCCCTCTTGGAACTTAAGCTCCCCATTAGGACCCGAGGGAGGCTGTTTGTTCAGTGCCTGTTGCTCCTTTTGCTTCTGTGACATCTCCATCACTGCCTGATTAGTAACAAAGCAAGATATTAGACTGTTGGAAATACAATAACATGCAGTACTGATGTTTTTCATTTATTTTAAAAAATGATGTGGTTTAGCAGATCGTATAATTGAAATATAAGGATTTTGTCCACTTATCCCACCAAACACTAACACAAATTCAGGAATGAATTTAAACTGACAATGTACTGTATATACTATACATGCAGTTATTAGATCTGCTAATTATTTTCCCAAATTATATTTAACAGTGCAATGAATTTCACAGTCTTTCCTACAACATTTTTTCTTCTGGGGAAGAAGAAAAATTGTTTTATTAAATACATTAAATAAATTCTTATTTTAAAAATACACTTAAAGGTCAATATTATTAGCCCCTTAAGAAATATATATTTTTCGATCATCTACAGAACAAAACCTCATTATACAATGATTTGCCTAATTAACCCAGTTAAGCCTTTAAATATCCCTTTAAGCTGTGTAGAAGTGTCTTGAAAAATATCTTGTAAAATATTATTTACTGTCATCATGGCAAAGATGAAATAAATCAGTTATTAGAAATTAACATTAAAACTTCTTTCTGTTAAATAGAAATTGGGTTAAAATTTACAGGAAGATTAATAATTTTGACTTTAACTGTTTATTAATATTTTTTATATTAATACTGGTTATATCTGTCATTTACATGTAAATATTAAGATAAATGCTATTCTTTATATAATTAGTAACATTTAAGGATTTCTTTACAAAGAAATTGTTATTCAAGAAACAACAACAAGGTCATACAAACCCGCAAAACATACAAAAATACAACATGTAATGATGTTGTAAATTGATTAAATAAATTATATTTTAAAACTGAATTGAAGGATTTTAGCATTTTAGATTAGAATTAAAAATACAGAATTTAAATTCACCATTTTGTTTAATAAACACCTATAAAATATTTGATAAAACAGTTTTAAACTGAATATGCAAAGTCGTAGACATTACATGACATGTCCCAAAACGCAATGTATGCAGCGCTAATGTTATAAAATCAATAAAAGAATTCAATTTCCCCATACGGTACAGCAGGGTTTAAAAGTGAGTTTTTTTGTTAGTTTATATCCCCCCAATAAAAAATAAATAAATGATTAAAACTTTAAATTGATCTTTTTATTTACAGTTGAAGTCAGAATTATTAGCCCCGTTTATTTTTTTCCCCAATTTTTGTTTAACGGAGAGAAGATTTTTTCAACACATTTCTAAACATAATAGTTTTAATAACTTATTTCTATTAACTAATTTATTTTATCTTTGCCATGATGACAGTTAATAATATTTGACTAGATATTTTTCAAGACACTTCAAAACAGCTTAAAGTGGCATTTAAAGGCTCAACTAGGGTTAGGTTAACTACACAGGTTAGGGTAATTAGGCAAGTTATTGTATAACGATGGTTTGTTCTGTAGACTATCAAAAATGTATAGTTTAAAGGGGGCTAATAATTTTGACCTTAAAATGTTTTAAAAAAAATAAATCAAATCTGCTTTTATACTAGCAGAAATAAAACAAACAAAACTTTCTCCAGAAGAAAAAATATTATCAGACATACTGTACAAATGTCCTTGCTCTGTTAAGACATTATTTGGGAAAAAAATTTTAAAAAGAAAAAAATTCAAAGGGGGGCTAACAATTCTGATTGCAACTACATGTTGCTTTAAATGATTTAATAAATTGTATTTTTATGTAATAAACAGTTACATAAGAAATGTGACTAATTAAAAATATGATTATACTTTCAAACATTCTCTTTATAAAATCAGAACAAAAAAATAAATAAAAATCGATAAATGTCAAGCCCAATTTGAAACCGCTGTTAAATGACAAAACAAAGTGCCCTAGAGGTGAAGCAACCACCTCTGTTACATTTGACACCGTTTACCTGCTGATATTCTCGTTTCTGTGCTTCAAGAGCTTTGCTTCTCTCTTTCAGAAGTTCCTGCTCCTGTCTTAATTTCTCTGCTCTTCTGCCGAGCTCCAGCTCTTTATCCCGAAGTTCTGTCTCAAAGCGCTGCAGCTCCTCTTCTGTATACACCGGCTTTGTGTCATCCAGCGTCTATATAAACGGGTAATGATTTAAAACCCTGTCATATTGAAAACACAATATCATAAAAGCCAAGCATGCATCTAAATCAGACTCTGACCTCCCATTCTTTTTGGTTGTTTAACTCTCTCTTCTCTGTGGATTTGAGAAACTCTTCCAGGCTGACCAGACGATCGTGATTGACATCCACCTACAGTGTAAGAGAGAGAGGGGAAAAAGGGTCTGTTTTAGCAGGTATGTTAAACTATTTAAAGGAACATTTGACTTTTTTTTGGAAATAGGCTTATTTTACAAGTCCCCTACAGTTAAAAAATTGACTTTTACCATTTTTGAATCATTCAGCTGATCTCTGGGTGTACTTTTAGCTTAGAGCAGGTCATTGAATCGCATTAGACCATTAGCATCTTAATTCTATCTTAATTTCACCATTTAAAACTTACCTATTTTGAGGATATTATACAGCAATGAGAGCTACTACCTAGCTGCGGACTATTTGCAGCATAATGTCATTGCACCAGCTGCAGCCATAGCATGACGGCAAAGCTACTTGATTATTCCGCCAGAATGAGGAGTATAGTTCCTAGCCATATCAGCCTAAAAAAACTTTTAATTTTGCATCAGAGTACAACGATTTAACTACAGTGAAAATGACCTTTTTTTATTTTATTTTTTTATGTGTGTGTGGAAGATGCTGATGGTCCAATCCAATTGAATGATTTATGCCAAGCCAAGCTAAAAGTGCTCCTGCCCGACCTTGACTGATTGGATAAAGAAAAATGGTAAAACTCAACTGTATAACTCAGTTATTTGTAAAACGAGCCTGTTCCTTTAAAAGCAACTTAAAAAACAAGGCACTGGTTGAGTGAATACATGAAACTAGATAGAGGAACGAGTGTTTGTTGGTCTCCAGCACCCTGAAGGAACAGAACAGATGGAGTCACTGCTGCTCCACACATTGTGAAAGTGTTAAAAAGCTGAAGGAGAACGACAGATAAAAGGCAAGAGAGAAAGAGAGGCTGAATGCGTTTACATACGCACTCTAGCACCAGCTAGCTTAATAAACAGTCTTTTTTAATGTCCCTCTATGCAGAGTTCTCTTTTTAACATTAAAGTCATTACTATAACATTTGAGTAGCTTATTTAATATTTACATTTTATTTTTAATGGCAAAATAAAATAAAACTCGCATTTATACTTAAAACTCAAAATAACAACACAGAATTATTTCTTCTTATGGCCTGGTTTTGAGTATTTTAGTTACCTTTTGCATTAAGGAGCAATGTTTGCTTTCTAGGACTGATTTCCAGGAGCTTTTACATGTTCAAGTGGGCAATATAATTACCTCACTGTAAAAGAAAATTATAAGTTATGAAAAAGAATGTTCTTATATTACAGGGCTCGAAATTGCGACCATTTTGGTCGCATATGCGCCCGAAAATTAATCTATGCCACCTCATAATATATTTTGGCGCATTAGTGCGACTGCAGATGGTTGTAGTGCGACCTGTTTTGATCTTTTTGTAAAAAACGTGCTGAATCGCTCTTCCCTGCCGCTATATTGGTTCATATTAGCTGTCATTCACTCAAGGTATTCCGCTGTCAGATGACAGGGAAGGAGCTTTTATGACCATGGGGAAATGCAAACGGCTGAAGAGTAAAAACTTAAAGCACACAGGTTTGCAAACCCCACCTAAAATTGAGGTGCAGATGAGAGCGATCATGACACGGCACATGGTGAATAATGATCCACCAGCTGAGATCAATCAAGTACGCGCTTCTTGGAGAAACCGCCCGAATCTCGATGCGTCGCATTCACTGCGTGTTCAGCGCAAATGTCCACTAAAATACTGTACACATTATCGCCAAAGAAGCTCGCCTTTACTAAGTTTACACTGAAACTGCGGCTCATAACAAAGAGCAGTATTGCACCGGTGGTCACCGCAAGAATCTTGCGCTGCCTGCTCATAAATTGGGTCGGCTGACTCGCCAGCTTTTCCACTAACACAGAAAAATGAAGATCATCTCAAACTGAACCTTTAAATTGACACAAATTGAAACCAAAACTTTTAAAGAGTGATAGAAGTGAGACTTTACTTTCTTTCTTTTGTCTATTCTTTTTTTGAGGTGTATATTATTTTTATTTTTTATTTATTTACTGATGACTGCTTTGCAGCTTTCATCATTGAATTGAATGATTTATTATAATCTTTTGTTTGTTTTGTAGCAGAAATATTATTTATTAAATTGACATGCATATAAAAACAGCAGTACAAAATAAATATTCCTTACTGCAGTGCTTCATTTTTGTTTGATGCAAACTATACAATTATTTTTCATAAAGTAACAGACTTTTTATAGCAGATAACCTACATTCATGCACATTCAAGGCAGTATCATAAAGAGAAATGTAATTCATTGTTACTATTATTGTCATTTTCATCATCACTAATATTCTATAGCTTAATTATTAGACATTCATTTTGAAATTATTGCACACAAATATCAATGTCTTCGCAGCATTAGTTAGATAGTTGTTTCTGGTTTTTGTCAGTCCTATTGATGTTGTTTTAAAATACAATAAATCCCTTAAAAAGCAATTTGCAGCGGTGCTCATTCATTTTTGGTGGGTGCTCCTAAATTTTTTCTGGTGCTCCTAAATTTATTTTGGTGCCCCTAAATATTTGAAGTTGGGAGCACCGGCGCTACAAAGTAAAAAAGTTAATTTCGAGCCCTGTATTACTTTAAAAAGTCAATCAGGATTCAACAATTTTTAGCTATTATTTATTATTAATAAAATTATTAATTCATTCTTTATTTAGATAAAGTTTAACTTAAATATTTTTGTTAGTTTGATTGATGCAATTTGAGATGACTAGAAAAGTTTAATTCAGGAAGCAAAAAAAATAAGGGAGCAAGATTTTTTTCAACTTTTATTTTTGTTTGTTTATTGCCACAACTTATGGCTCTTTCATGGCATGATCAATATAGATATGAACATATTACATAATGGAAACAAGAATAACAACTTCACACATCAGGAGACAGTACCACACTTCAAATTGTACAAAAAAACCCTCCATCGAATATGACTTTTTCCCTTTGATATATAATAAATAACCTAACATTCTTCTTGGAGAGAAATTTTTTAAAACATAATAGCGGGCCGACCATTGTCTTGAACAAATTCATCAACTAAAAGTTTATTTGCAAAAGCAGATAATGTCAGATATCACGTTTTTATATTGTGCATTTAGGAGTACAACTGCGAAAAACTACATTTCTGAAAAATTATAAAGCGGTGGTTATCAATTTTTGTAAATAAATTCTGCAGTTTTTATTTTCGCAAATGCAAATGACACAAATAAACAATGAATTTGGTTTAAATCATGACAGCGGGAAAAGTTCAGTTTAAATGAGCTCTCTCTCATGCATTTTTGGGACAGTTTTTCCAACAATCCCGTTTATTCCAACCCAGATGTAAACAACCTCATTAAAAGTGACTGAAAAAGAAAGTGAATGCTTACGTTTTGCATGACATGTTCTCGCATCCTCAGCCTCTCTTCCTCCATCTCCACCATGTCATCTTCTTCATTCTTGGGATCATACACCTTCTCCAGCTGAGATATTAAAACAATCATAGAAAAGGTTAGAAACACTTAGGACAACTCTTTTTAAAAAATATTATCCAGCTCATTGCAAACCAGGAGCAGTTTTTATAAGCTCCATCAAACTGTACATATAGGTATACAAACTTTTGAAGAAGAGTGCAGTAAAGTCTTTAAAAAAATACCCCAAAACTGATTTACTCACCCTCAAGTGGCTTCAAACATTTATTACTTTGTTTTTACTATTAACACACAATATCATATTTTGAAGAATGTTGGAAGCTGGTAGTCATGGACATCAAAAGTAATAAACAAAATACAAAAAAAGGTATTCCACCTTTCTTCGTAATATCTTTAGATTTTAAGAAAAAGTAAAGGGTCATTTAATGATGACAAGTTTTATTTTAGGGTGAACTATTCCTTTAAATGATAAATCAATAATAACAGTTTCCAATATCATCAATAAAATGCAAAAGGTGACAAATAACCTCTTTTGTGAAGAGAGCCTCCAGCTCTTGCACATCCAACACACCGTCACTGTTTGTATCTACAAGAGAAAAGGCAATACAATTGATTTAATCCATAAAACGGCAGTTTATGGATTAAATGAGGACTGAATAAAGACTCGCCATGTAATTTAAAAAAAGTCTTGGGATTGAACTCTTGTGGATCCAGCCCATCCGTCTCCTCCCAGACCTCTCGCAACTGATCCACACTACCCTGAAAGAGGTAAAGGAATTAAAAGATTTAATTTGAATCAATCAATTATTTTAATCCATAAATCATCTTTTTCTCGTCACGCTTCTCACCGGGGAGTTAACTTTAGGATGTTGCCTGTGCTTTTCTTTCAACTCATCCATCCTCTTCTCCTCCTTCTCCCTCTTCTCCTGGTCCAAACTCTTCAGGTACTCCCTTCTCTCGTGCTCCTTTAGCATCTCGTAGCGCTTAAACTCTTCATGCCGCTCTGCATCGTAATTCTCAAGATCTTTAGTGGCCTGACAAACGAGCACAGAACAAATGTGTGTGACTTCAAAATGGATAGATTTTGTGTTTAGCATTTTTTTATTTATTAGTTTATTTATGTTTTAATTTCATATCAGCATATTCATGGCAAAAACTATACTTAAGATACAATATATAACATACCATCGTATCAGTTTCTTAAACATTTATTGTAAAAAAACAAAACAAAACCTACAAATAGCAACAACACTGAAAAGATTCATATACACTTTTTTTTTGTTTGAAAGAAGATAAATATTGTAAAATTCCTCCAAAAGACACCTTTTCAATATTTCTCCTAAAATATTTCCTAAATAAAAACAAGTATCTCAAGTATCTCATAGAAATACTGTGGGGAAAAAAGGAATTTATATTTATTACTTTTGTGTCTTTTTTATTAGATAAATGTGTACACTAAAAAACGATTAATTAATCTTTTTATTTTGTATAATATCATATATTAACCAAGCATACTTCTTCTTTCTTATTATGTTACATACTTTTATAAGGAACTGCTGGAAATAGCAGAATAAAAATAAATATAGTGTGGGGGCCCTTGCTCCACACTGCTGTCTAATAAGAAGTCTAGACATGTCACAAGGAGCTGGATGCTTGTAGAAATTGTGCAATATATTAAAGATAAACTTAAATGTTCAGTTCTGCTATGCAGAGAAGGGTTGCAGAAAGAGGAAGTATGTTTGGGTACATTAGCCAAAGGACTGCAGGAATGACTGATAAGTGGCATTACAGCAAAACTAATTCATATCTGTTGTGTATATGCCGGAGTCAGGCAAATGTAAACGAGTTGTGAACCTCCTGAATGTAATTCTTGTATTGCATTGGGGTAACACAACCCAGAGCTCTGTGATCATTATTCATTTAATTAGTCCCTAATAAATTACTAATATTTTTGGCATTAATGAAAACTCTCTCCTGACCTTTTTTTATTGAACACGCATGGAATTGGCTTAATATTCCAACAATACACTATTAAAATGTGTTTTATCATCAAAATATTCCTACACAAGTTACAAGTAAGTTTTTCTTCCCATTTCAATAAATATGAATGTGTGTTATTCTTGAATGTCCGATTCTATATCTCGTATATACTACCTGATCATGTCCGGTTTTTTTTAGCATTTTTTTTTTTAATACATTTAATTACTCCAATTCTGTATTTAGATGTAAACAAAACAAATTGAAATGGCTTTTTATTTGTGTTTTATTTTTAAATGAAGTACTAGTGTTTTTATGTTATACTTTTTTAATTTATTGCCATGTATTTTACTGTTTTATTGTATATTATTTTTAGGGGTAATACTTCATTTAAACTTTATGGCAATACAAATATACAAAATGACAGGATAAAATGGATACCCAGAATATTAATATCACTAATTTACATCAACAAAAATCTAAATTTTGTTTACTTGCATTTGAAAATTAAAATATATAATTGCTAAACGAGTGTTGGAAACACCTGGTACCTGAACCTGGTACTGGAAAAGTAGATAATGCAAGTTAATCTTTTTAATAACATAAACAATGCAATTAATTAGAAATCAAAATTTAATATTTACTAATGCATTATTAAAATCTAACGCTGTGCTTGTTGAAATTTAATGAGCAACTGTAAGTTCATTAAGCCTGATTTATACTTCTGCGTCAGGTGACCGGCGTAACCCACGGCGCATGCAACGCGCGTGGCTGTGCATTTATACTTTTGCGCGCTGTCTCTGTCGGTCTGCATTAACACTTCCGAAACGCTAGTTGGCAGTGAGGTGTAAATGTTCCTCTGTGTCGAGTTTCTTCGCTGCTTTTTTGCTTTGCCTGAACACTTCCGGGATGTACAAGTGGCGTAAACTCGCTCATTTTGAGGCAGCAACCGGCGGACGTTTAGCAACTTTAACTATGAGGTAAACACAAAACAAAACTTTCCATCCGGAGCTCCTTCACGGGACTCCACACTTGTAACCAATCGCTCGCGCCATTCGCGCGGCTCTCGGTCCCGCCCAGACTCGTCAGCGCAACCAAGCCGACCAATCACAGAGCTTACGCTACGCTACATTTTTTGAGAGGTGCACGTCAGTGACGGCGACGGCCACGGCGAAGGGCTATGCGTCAGCGCCGTAGCATACGCCGGCGTTTGACGCAGAAGTATAAATCAGCCTTAAGCTTATATTATCAAAGATTATATATTCTGTAATAAAAATATTGTTTATTCATGTTACATTAACTAACATTAACCACGTGTATGCTTGTCTATTTACAGTTTTGTGATCTTATCTTGTCCAGTTTACCATTCTGGCATGCTAGGAACAGATCTTACTGTGGCGATAAGCAGTTCCAGGTCTTTGGCCTCAAAAGTGTTCTGATTATGAGGATCCAGATGTTCAAACTGCTTCAACAAGGAGGCGTGATCCATCTGAACACCTGCAGTCACAATCAAACATTCACATTTGAGTCACATCGACAGATTTCCTCATTCATCAGCACAACTGAGTGCAACACAAGCATAAACACACTGACTCTGGGCATTGGTGCTGTCCAGTTTAGCCTTCAGCAGCATCCTGAGGCGCGAGACCTCCTGCCTCTTTAGCTCGTCCAGTCGAGTTCTGACATGATGACCCACCAAATCCAACTCCTTACTGAGGCGTCCGTTCTGAAACACAGGATCATTTTATTATGAGCCTGAAATGGAAAAGTAGTAAACCAAACATCTTTGCAATGACTAGCACTTCAAAGTTGAAATGAAATTAAAAGGTATGAAAATATAAAGTTTTTATAGAGAATATGCATGGATGGAGAGGACATGACCCCACCAATATCCACCAATTCCTGAAATGTCCCCAGCAATAATTGAATCGCCTTCAAAATAAAATAATGATATGTCAACCCTTAGTAACCTAGATGTGCTTGAAGGGTTAAATCCATAGACATGTATAATGGATAATATGGATAAAACGGTTACATAACTCTTTAAACTTCTGTACATTCATACCTCCTCAAAGCCAGATTACAGTAAAGTCATGCAAATTGACTTTTGCAGCATATGACATGCTTCATTATTTGTTATTTGTATTATTAAGTGTTTAAACGTTTTAAAAACATGTGCTGTTCAATACATGCACTCTAGGGATCTACGTCCCCATCAATATCAAGAGCAAATCTATGCCATGCAAATGTCTTTTATTGTTTAATGACCTACACATTTCAAATTATATAAAACCATAGCAACACAATATACAAATATTGTTAGCATTCAATATGTTTGTGAATTTTTTTTTTATATTTTGATAATAATATGAATATATATGTGCCTGTGTACAAATATATTTTTTATTTATTAAAATACATTTATAGACAAACGCTTTTGCTTCATAAGTGTGCCATATTTTAGTTATTCGTGTTCATTTTGTTATGTCTTCTTCATTTCAAATGAATTAACAAGGACTATGGTTTTTAAATCGTTTCAGATTATACAGTTTTTACTAATTTACTTTTACAATTGTAACTCTGGGTAACAATTCATTACAAAAATAACCAACTAACAGATACAATAGGGTTTCAGCACTAAAGCTTTTGAATGAAGTCCCCTAATGAAGTCTACAAAAACTTAAACGGGGTTTCTGCAGGTTTCTTCAAATAAATTTTAAGATTTTTAAGACCCTATTAAGACTAAACACTAATGATTATTTCTGGTGGCCTGGTTACTTCGGCAAATAGTGTTTGTTTTAATGAAAGATCATGTAAAGGGATGTGTTGCTTTAGTTTTCTTTCACTGATTAGGGAATTTAATTTGGGGATTTTGCACGTAATAACAGCTGTCATGAATTGCATCTCTTTACAATAAAAAAAACTTTTTGAGATGGATTATAGGTGACTGAATGTCGGCCACATTGGGTAGCTTTACTTGGACTAAGTTGAACCTGTTTAAAATAATTTAAGACCTACAACACCATATTTCAGTGAATTTAAGACTTTATAATGCCTCATATACTGTTTTTGAAATTTATTGTCATTTTAAGATTTTAAGACCCAGTGGCAACCCTTTCTTATACATTTGATTGGTCTCTCAGATCATGGTACATGGTCTTAAATAATAAAAATGCATAGATAACTTTCTTTATATTAAATATATATTCAGGCATGATGTTGTGCCTGACATAGTTTTTTGTTTACCTTAATGTCCTCGGTGTTGGCAGTCTGCAGTTTTTCCCTGAAGTGAGGATCTGTTTCCAGCACCTCAATCACCTCTCTGAGGTAACGGTCATAGTACAGTCCAGTGTCCTGATATACACAAAAACAAAACAAGTGCATTTGCTTATTAAACAAAATGCTGAGAGCACAAGATGAGCTCTGACAGCATGATGCGAGAGCCGTCTTACCACATTCTCCTCTGCTTTCTCCTCCTGAGGAGGGTCTGGGTTGCGGTCTATTGGCACTGCCCAAACCAGCAGACACAGAGACAGAAGCAGCAGAGCTTTAAAGCTTCCTGTCATCCTTACACACCTTGGCAAAAAAGCAGATGAACATTGATATGACAGCCGTCAGTTTCATCCTGAAGGTATAACTCTACATGAAATGGTTAGAACGGCCTCTTTAAGCAGACAGGTTAATGAGAAACATCGATTAGGACAGGAGAAAGAGGAAGCAGCCGAAGAAAGGAAGTCTGTAGGACAGCTCGAGAAAACACTCCGAACATCTTTCACAACAGCTTCAACTTCAAGTGAAAAACGGCCACACATATGTGTGTCACGGCCACCCACACTGCAGTGTCATCTAGCGTGAATCTCTTCATTTTATGTCAAATAAACAGCGAGTTCTCTTACCACAGGGTCAGATCCGGTTGGAGCGTTGAGTGACTACAGATTACTCAGCGCTCCTGCCTTGAAAACAAGTGCGGCCGTCGATTATGACGCAATCCAAACGCGACGGTTTCGCGATTTAAAAGTGCACACGTCTGAAAAAAAATATTACAAAAGTAAAAACGCGCAACTTTAAATTGTACTATACGTGCCGGGTAAAAAGTAAAAAAGAGACAAGAATTAGAATATAAATGATGTATTATAAAACATACTTACGTAATATAAATGTATATGTCCTTCATATATAATGTGCCTTATTTTTTTTGGAAATGTAATCATGCTGTCAAGTATTCACTTCATTCTATACCTAAGTTAAATACATATTCTCCAGAATAATAATTACACAATCATAATTTATATTACCAGTATGTATTTTGAGCAGTTGACAAAAACACATATAATGTAAGTTCTGCACAAAAAGCAACTTTATATTGACTATTAGTAGAAATAGTATTCTAATATTATCACTTTTTATTTATAAAATATGACTCTTATTTTGATTTATTTAGAGCAGTGTTTCTCAACCACATTCCTGGAAGACCACCAGCTCTGCACATTGCCCATGTCTCCTTACCCAAACATGCCTGATTACAGGCTGATAGACCTGTAATGGGTGTGACAGACAAAGGAGTTATCTAAAACATGCAGTGTTGGTGGCCCTCCATGAACGTGGTCGAGAAACACTGATTAAAAAGACATTTTGCTTCTTTCATTTGTTCTTTTAGTCCTATAACTAATGGACACTAACACATGCACCACAATAGTGGCAAACATATACACTTTATTTTAATTACATCAAAAAATAGATCTTCATTTGTTTTGTTTTACCCAACACTTTGATTACAAACAGGCTGAAACACTGACAAGCAAAATAAATTAAGTATAAAAATGCACCACACAATAAATAACATGAAAATAAATAAACTATAACACATAGAAATGCAATACATAAAGTGAAAAGGATAAACCTGAATTACATAAAAAGTCACAGTTATGGCAACAAAAGTAATAAATATGGCACAAGTAAATAGTAATCCCACAAACAAATAAATAAAACATTTTATAAATTAGATCACTTCAGAAGTTACAAAACAAATATGCTTAAATCAGTTTCACTGATAAATAAAAGGCAATAAATATACGAGTGATGAATGAACCGCGTTTTAAAAGTCTATTTCTCTCAGGTCTGTGGGAGTGCTGGCTCTTTCTTCTTCTTCAATGTCTCCATCTTTCTGCTCCTGTGCTCCAGTTCTCAGTCTCTCTCTGAGAGCGCCGTCTATCAGCTCAGTGCAGCACTGCAGCAGCGCCTGTAGGCAGAATCAGAAACATTTTAGCATTCACAAATCACAACAATCACTTTCTCAGACTCACAAGTAGATATACTACCTTAGATTATTATGGCAAGCTGTTTTACAATCTACAGACCCTGATGGTATCTGTGTTCATGCTACTAGTACCAATTTCTTTAGATTAAAGGGATAGTTCACCCCAATTTTTTTGTTTACTTATTATTTACTCATTATTGTTTAGTTTTTTTTTCTGTTGAAGACAAAATAAGTTATTTTGAAAAAAGTTAAAATCTGGTAACTTTTAACATCCATTGTAGGAAAAACTATGGATATCAATGGTTACTGGTTTCCAACATTTTACAAAATAACTTCTTTTGTAATAACCAGAAGAAAGAATCTCAAACTTTTTTGACAAGTTAATGAAGAATAAATGCTTTAGTAACTTCAAAAATGCTGGCACTAATTAATTAGAGAGTATGTAATTATTAACTTATTAAACAGACACTAGTAGTTATTCATTAGAAACTGCTGATTATGTTAGTGACTAACTACTCAATAAAAACAGAGCCACACTGAAATTTGTAACAAGCCGACAAATAGTCAAAGTCACATTTAGTACTATTAAGATATCTAATAGATAACTGAGCTAAAATTTCTAATACATAAGTATTAGTATCCGCTGTGTAAAACCTATGCTGGATAAGTTGGCGGTTCATTCCGCTGTGGTGATCCCTGATAAATAAAGGGACTAAGCTGAAAGAAAATGAATGAAGTATTAATATTGGACAAATAAATAGCCTAATATTACATAAAAAGGACCAATAGGCCTTTGTAAAAGATACTAGTGTGGTATCTTGATCAGTAACAAAAGAATAATAGCCAATGAATAGGTAAGGCCTAGTATAAAGGCTTTACCGCAAGAATAAGCCCAAGATAGCCCATTTAGGGATAGTTCACACAAAAATGAAAGAGACTCACTACTCTGAAGAGGTTTTAAACCTTTCCAGTTTCTTTCTCTTGCTGAACACAAAAGAAGATACTTTGAAAAATGCTGGAAACCTGCTTCCAAAAACAATTACTATGGAAGTTATTGGTTGTAGGTTAGTTAAAAAAAAAAAAAAAAAAAATAATATATATATATATATATATATATATATATATATATATATATATATATATGTGTGTGTGTGTGTTTGTGTTAAACAGACGGAAGAAACTAAACTAGGTTTGGAACAAGCAAATGGAGAGTAATTATTAATAGAATAGGCCTATTCATTTTTGAGTGAACTATCCCTTTATTATGGAAAATATAGGCCCACTTTATCTACAAGCACTAGTAAACTAGTCTGGGAAAGATAAGACACATGTGAAAACATAGGTTTTACATATTAAGTAAAACGGCCCGACATTCTTCATCGATGCAGTAGAGCTTACCACATCTGTCTGGCAGAGTGTGGCGAGGGCAGCGGTCATGAGGCTCATCTCTCCCGCGCTCCGGGCTCTTAATCCCCGCAGGGCGGAGTTGAGTGCGGCCGCGGCCACCAGTGACGGCGGAGTCCCCAGAAAGCGCGAGTCGCACACACACATGGCAACCAGAGTGTCCCCGTGGCGCCGCATGGTTGTCAGAAAGTCCCCGGTGTGCCCGTCCCCGTCCCGGAGCTCGCCGAGAGTCCGTAGGAAGAGCGGGATGAAGTCCTGTGGGGTCACCGCCAACACATCCCAGCGCAGAGTGGCCAAAACCACACGCTCCATTTCCTTAAGGAGGATGATGCACCAAATGTATTTATCATGTATTTATTTACTGACATAATATTAATTTTGTTTTAATTGTGTATTTTTTTAAGTATTTGTTGTCCTTTTTGGCAAATATTGAGCCTGGTTTTGTAAGCTTTAATGCTTTAAGGATTTTTCAGAAAAAGGCCTCACCCTCAGGTTTGCTGACAGAAAGTCGTACTCGGCTGCTGCACAGAGAGTATCAGCACTGACTGTGTCGCTCTCTGTCACTTTAGAGGCCAACAGGATACAGGCAGCAGCCAGACATGATGGAGAGACGGGCAGAGATAGAGTGGCTGACAGGTAGCGGTCCAGCAGAGAGACAGCCAAAGGAAACACAGACTCGTCACAGTCACATTCACAGCACACCTAAAACATACCAGAGCAACATTTCAACTACAGTCACAAACATACAAAGACATTCCCAAATGCTTAATATCCCTTATATGAAGTTGTCAGAAAATTACCCAAACATCAAAATGTCTTTTTTTATCCATATGATGAAAGCCAAGTTCCTGATTTTGAACGCCTTTGAATTGTTAACTGTATAAACAAATGCATTTATGAATGAATGAATGAATGAAAATAGACAAAAATATTTGAAACACTATTCAAAATCTATTTTAGCATTTTTCTTATCTTAATCATTAAAAATAAAAACTATGTAAATAATGAACATTATTATTTAACAAATAAACATTTAAAATAAAAAAATCTATTAAATTTTTTGAAAGTTTTGTTTTTGTTTTTATATTTAAATTATTAATGATTTACCGTAAACAGAGATTAACTTAAAATGCTGCTGCTTGTATTTGTTAATGTTTCAAGTATTTGTTTATCCTTGGTTCTGACTCTGACGTTTATTTTGTGTTCATCCATATTTGTTACTTCAGCTTTTTATTGTTAGTTTTCCTCAGTTCCATTAAATAATATCTACTAAAATTATTAAAATCAAAATTTGTTGTAGTTAAGATTAGTTTGCACTTTGAACTAAGATTCATAAATTTTCATATTGCAATGATAAAACTTCTTTTAGGTCTCCATAAACCTGTGAACCTTGAACCAGTGTTGTTATAAACAATTATGAAATTTAAACTTTATGTTTGTTTTTCAAAATAAATTTGTAAAACTTGGTTTTATTATGTGTAGTTTTTTTTTCGTTTTAAACAAAAAATACAAACATTTTGATGTCTAATATTGTATAAAATTTTAATATTATTATAATACTTTGTAAAAGTATTTGTATTTTTACATTCAGGCGAAATTTAGTTGTTTCAAAAAACAAATATTATTTTAGCTTTATAATTTTAGTCTAGCTATATTAATAATAATAATAACTCTGCCCTAAACCACTTTTTGTAAAAACTTTCAGACCCTATACTTCAAACATAGCACTGTATATTAAACACAAACACCTTATTTCACATCTTGAAACGCTGTAAAAATGCTCCACACAATTTTTTCATGTTGTCTCAACTCAATTCGATTAAGTTACTTAATACTTTCTACAAATTTAAAGTGGACTGAACATAAAACAATTAAGTTGTCCCCAATTAAGGTGTCCACTCAAAAAAAAATGCTGTTTGTTCAAACTACCTGAAACAACAAAATTCTTAATTTTTTATATATTTTTTGCAACAACATGTAACATAGAATTGTTTGATGTTCAATCCACTTAAATTTGTAAAAAAAAATAAAATAAAAAAAAACTACTAATTTAATTAAATTTATTCCTGTTGTCTCAGCACACATCAATTATGTGGAACTCGGCATTTTTCAGTGTATCCAGCATGTTTTTTGCATTGCTCCAGGTTTTGGTTTATGATATCTAAACACTACCTCCATTGTCCATTTGGCCAGCTCCTCTCTGCGCTGTGGCTCTCTCTGGACCAGTGAGATGTAGAGCGAGGACGGCAAGTACCTCTCCTCTGACTGCAGGAGCCTCTGAATGACCCTCTGTCCCGAAGCGCTG